ACAGTGAGCTGTGATCACACCACTGCACTCCAGCCTGGTCCCAGCTACTTTGGAGGCTGAGGTGGGAGGATTGCCTGAGCCCAAGAGGTCAAGGCTACAGTGAGCTGTGACTGCACCACTACACTCCAGCCTGGAGCAACAACAAGAACAAAACTTTGTCTCCAAAAGAAGAAAAAAAGAGTGTAGCAGAATGATCAAGGAGAAATATAAACATGAGTTCATAGTTTAATATAATTGTAGTCAATTTTAAAGACTTTGGCTTTCATTATCCATGACATGAGAAGCCACGGCAAGAGTCAGAGCCTAGGAGTGACATGATCTGACATAGGTTTTAACAAGTTCCCTCTGGCTATAAACTGAAAACAGACTATAGAAACAGCAACAACAGAAGCAGAGACCATTTGGAAGGCTACCGCAATGATCCACGTAAGACGTGACAGTGTGGCTTACACCAAAGTGGTGAGACGTGGTTGTTAAGACTATGAATATATTGAAAGTAGAGCCAAAAGGATTTGCTGATAGATCAGTATTAGTGAGGTGGGTCAACAATGACAATAGGACTTTCTGCCCAAGTTGCTGGGCAGTAAGACAAGACTGCAGAAGAAATGTTTCAGAGGAATTCACTTTTGGCATGCTAGCTTTTGAGATGTCTATAGACATCTGAGTGAAGACAGAAAGACGGCAGTTAGAGATGCAAGTCTGGAATTCAGTAGAGTTTGGGACTTGTCAGAATTTAGGTTAGATGAAATTTAAAATCATGGAATAGGTATGATCACCACAACAGAGGTCTCTTACAGTGTAAGACATCCTGTTTCTATGTAAACAAGGCCAATCATCCTATTTATGCTTTGAATCATATTCCTTCCTTTCTTTTCAAGGACTTCCGTCCATTTTTATGTCCTTCGTCTTCCAATCTGGCTTTCCTCCTCTCCAAACTCTTTTCCATAGGCACCTAAACATATTCAAGTCATACTTTTTTTTTTTTTTTTGAGACGGGGTCTCCTCTTGCCCATGCTTGAGTACAGTGGTGCAATCTTGGCCTCCGCTTCCTGGGCTCAAACAATTCTCCAGCTTTAGCGTCCTGAGTAGCTAGGACTACAGGCGGGAGCCACCACACCTGGCTAATTTTTGTATTTTTTATAGAAATGGGGTTTCATGATGTTGCCCAGGCTGGACTCGAACTCCTGAGCTAAAAGTGATATGCCCACCTCAGCCTCCCAAAGCGCAAGAATTACAAGCATGAGCCACCGCACCCATTCCATCAAGTCTGTTATATACTGTTTTAAAAAACATTTTCCTAGAGCTTGCATCCCTCTCTGGCATCTCTAGCTCCCTTATTCTTCACACTCAATATTTTCAAAAACAGTTTTATACAACAGCTTGCTTTGCTTCCCCACAAATAATGTCTCTAACCAGCACGATTTAACTTTACCATCTATCCTAACACTTAAACAACTGCTTTGCTGCTAAAGCCAGTGAATTATTTTCAATACTGATTTTATTTTATATCTGTATAGCACTTAACACTGAATTCCCCTCCTTCTTAAAAACTCTTCTTTTTGGAACACCACACTCTCCTGGCTTTCTCCTTCAACCCTGGCCTGAAATTTCCTTCATTATCTTTTCCTTAACCAATTCCCTTAAATGTTGATGTCCAATGGGGTCCATTCTCAGCCTTGTCTCCATATAAACTTCATATAAACTCCCTGGTGATTCCACTGAAAGAATGAATGATTTGACAGAAGATCCATGGTAGTCTTACCAAGGATTGTTTCAGAGAAAATGCGAGGATAAATGCTCTATTATCAAATAGAAAATGAAATGATAAATCTAAAAGAGCATGTATAGATAGGATTAGAGATTTATGGAATCTATTTTGTCATCTTTTTTTTTTTTTTAAATGGAATGAAGTTAATGGAGAGGGAAAGACTAAAGATCAAGGATATAAATGATATCCTACACAAAAAAAGCACCTTCAATAAGAATTAAAATCATGTGAGCAATCACAGTACCTGGTTTTATCACCGAGGAGGTGGATGAGATGGTATCAAGAATTGTATATTTAGACAGATGTCACAACTATCTAAAATGGGAAGAGCTAAACCTCTTTCTCTGGGACAGAAAGGAAAAGGGTAAAAATGAAGTCAAACAGAGGCATGTAGCGAGAAAGTCAGAAGGAAATTGAAAGAGTTGACAAGAGAAAGCCTAAACTTTTTGGTGTCCCAGGTCCAAGGTGGGCTGGATAACAATGAGACAGAGATTAGGAAGGGGTCTGAGATGAGTGGAAGTTTGCAATCGTTGCTGAAGGAAAAGGCAAAGGGAACTAACCCACATAATGTAAAAGAAAAAATGGTGACTGGTAAAGAGAACTCAAATGAGACTGGAGTTTAAAGACATGAGCTTAGAGAGGCAGCAATTCTATAACTTTATAGCACTGAGTTTTTAAGGCATAGACAGAAACAGAGAAGGCAGACTGCAGGACTGATCCAGGAATATAGGGGCTGGAAGCAGACAAGAACCAAGGGAATAGAAGATATTTGTATGTGACAAACTAAAATGATCAACCATTTGTAACCATAAATTTTCTTTTCTTTCTTTTATTTATTTATTTTGAGAAAAGGTCTTGCTCTGTTGCCCAGGCTGGAGTGCAGTGGTGTGATCACAGCTCACTGCGGCTTCAAACTCCTAAGCTCAAGTGATTCTCTCACCACAGCCCTTCAAGTAGCTGGGACTACAGGCATGCATCACCACATCCAGCTAATTTCTAATTTTTAAATCTTTTTGTAGAGATGAGGTTGCACTATGTTGTCTAGACTGATCTCAAACTCTTAGCCTCAAGTGATCCTCCTATCTTGGCCTCCCAAAGAGCTGGGATTACAGGTGAGAGCCACTGCACCTGACCATAACCATAATTTTCTTTTCTGTTTTTGAAACAATGTCTCACTCTTTCACCCAGGCTGGAGTGCAGTGGCACGATCTCAGCTCACTGTAACCTCCACCTCCTGGGTTCAAGTGATTCTCCTGCCTCAGCCTCCCAAGTAGCTGGGATTACAGGTGAATGACACCACACCCGGCTAATTTTTGTATTTTTAGTAGAGACATGAGATTTTAAATTTTACCATATTGGCCAGGCTGGTCTTGAACTCCTGACTTCAGGTGATCTGCCCCATCTCAGCCTCCCAAAGTGCTGAGATTACAGGCGTGAGCCACTGCGCCCGGCCCATAACCATAAATATTTTTAATTCAATGTTTTGAAATAGTTATCTTCCAAAATATGAAAGACTAAGAACCACCACATGACCACAGTAACATCGCACTGAAATTGTAATGAATAATCTACACCATCCTGCCCAGATCATGTGGCCTAGGGCACCCAATGCCAATCCCACAGGCCCCTCACCATAGTAAATTATTCTTCAGTTATAATGATAGTTTCTTTTTTGAAACTGTCTTAGAACAATTCTACTATCTGAATGCTTCTGTTTTTTAAACAAACATGAAGAATATTCTCCTGAGAGGACACGGAGTAAGATAACCGAACAGAAGCCTCCACTGCCCTGCAGGAACACCAAATTTGACAACTATCTACACACACAAAAAAAGCACTTTCAGTAAGAATCAAAATCATGTGAGCAATCACAGGACCTGGTTTTAACTCCATATTACTGAAAGAGGCACCGAAAAAGGAAGGAAAACCAGTCTTGAAATGCAACAACACCCCACTCCCATCCCCTGGCAGCAGCCATATGGGCAATCTGTATGCTCGGGGCAGGGAGAGCTCAGTGACTGTGGAACTTTGCATTGGAACTCAGTGCTGGCAACACCAGGCAGGACTCAGCAGGTACCCACAGAGGGAGGATTCAGAAGAGCCGTAGCCAGAGGGGATTCACCCAGCCCAGCGGTCCTATCTGTAGTTTCAGTAAGCCCTGCCACTATGGGCTAAAGTCCTCTGGGGTTCTAAATAAACTTGAAAGGCTGTCTAGGCCACAAGGACTACAACTTCTGGGCAAGTGCTGGACTTGGAGCCAGGGTACTTGAGGGGCACATGACCTAGTGAGATGTCAGCCAGGGTGGCTAAGGGAGTGCTTGCATCACCCCTCCCCTAACCTAAGGCAGTGCAGCTTGAAGCTCCCAGCTTCAAAAGAGACCCCTGTCTTCCACTTGAGGAGAGGAGAGGGAAGAGTAAAGAGGCTGTTGTTTGTAACTTAGATACCGGCTCAGCCACAATGGGAAAGGGCACCAGGCAGGATCATGAGGCCCCCATTCCAGACTCTGGCTCCTGGACATTTCTAGACCTATCTTGGGCCAGAAGAGAACCAGTCCTGGCAGGATTCATCACCTGCTGACTAAAGAGCCCTTGGGCTCTAAATAATGGGTCTTAGGTGAGACTCTGAGACATGATGACTTCAGGTGTGTCCCAGCCAATTCACAACTGTGTTGGCTATGAGGAGAGAATCCTTCTGCTTGAGAAATGGAGAGGGAAGAATAAAGGGGACTTTGTTTTGCAGCTTTGGTACCAGCTCAGCCACAGTGGAGAAGAGTATCAACCAGGCTCCTGAGGTCCCTGATTCCAGGCCTTGGCTCTTGGATGGCATTTCCAGACCTACCCTGAGCCAGAGGGGAGCCCACTGCTCTGAAGGGTGAGTTCTAGGCCTGACAGCATTCACCACAAGCTGACTGAAGAGCCCTTGGGCCTTAAGTGAACATTGGTGGTACCCTGGTACTCATGGGCCTGTGGTGGTGGAAAATATGGGAAGAGACTCCTCTGCCTGGGTAAAGGGGAGGGAAGAATGGGAAGGACTTTGTCTTGTGATTTCACTGCCAGCATAGCTGCAATGGAATAGGGCACCAGGGAGATTTCTTTCCAAGGTTTCCAACTCCAGGCCCTGAACGGCACCTCTGGACTCGCCAGGGCCCAGGGGAACTTGCCGCCCTGAAGGGAAGGGCACAAGACTAGCTGGCTTCACTGCCTGCTGCCTGTAGAGTCCTAGGGCCTTGAGAGAACATAGGCTGTAGCCAGGTAGTGGTTACAGCACTCACTGGACAAGACCCAATGCTGTTCTGGCTTCAGGACTGATTCAGGGCAGACCCAGTACTGGTGCTACAGGGTTGCTTGTGTCACTTCACCCCTAGGTCCAGGCGGTTCAGCACAGAGACAGAGAGAGACTCCATTTGTTTGGAAGAGAACAAGAGTCTCTGCCTGGTAATCCAGAGAATTCAATTGGATCTTACCCAAGACCATTGAGGTGATACCTCTACGAGTCTGTAAGGGTCTGCGTTACTGGGCTTGGGTGCCACCTAATGCAGATATGGCTGCAATTAGATCTCAACACCCAAGTCCCTTCGAATATCTGGAAAGCCTTCCCAAGAAGGACAGGTACAAACAAGACCAGATTGCTCAGAAGTCAACAAATACCCAATTCTTCAACACCCAGACACCAACAAACGTCCACAAGCATCAAGACCAGGAGGAAAATATGATCTGACCAAACAAACTAAATAAGGCATCAGAGGCCAACCTCAGAGAGACAGAGATACGTGACCTTTCAGACAGAATTCAAAATAGCTGTTCTGAGGAAACTCAAAGAAATTCGAGATAACATGAGAAATAATTCAGAATCTTATCAGATAAACTTAACAATGAAATTGAAATAATTTAAAAAAGAATAAAGCAAAAACTCTGTAGTGGAAAAATGCAATTGACACACTGAAGAATGCATCAGAGTCTCTTAATAGCAGAATTGCGCAAGCATAAGAAAGAACTGTGAGCCTGAAAACAGGCTATTTGAAAACACACAGCCAGAGGAGACAAAAGAAAAAAGAACACAAAAGAATAAAGCACACCTACACGATCTAGAACATAGCCGCAAAAGGGCAAATATAGGAGTTATTGGTCTTAAAGAGAAGGTAGAGACACACATAGAAAGTTCATTCAAAGGGATAACAATAGAGAATTTCCCAAGCCTAGAGAAAGATACCAATATTCAAGTACAAGAAGGTTATAGAACACAGAGCAGATTTAACCCAAAGACGACTACCTCAAAGCATTTAATATCCAAATTCTCAAAGGTCAAGGATAGAGAAAGGATCCTAAAAGCAGCAAGAGAAAAGAAATAACATACAATGGAGCTCCGAATACACCTGCCAGCAGACTTCTCAGTGGAAACCTCACAGGGCAGCAGAGAGCAGCATGACATACATAAAGTGTTGAAGGAAAAAACTTTTACCCTGGAACAGTATATCCGGTGAAAATATCCTTCAAACATGAAGGAGAAATAAAGACTTTCCCAGACATAAAAAGCTAAAGGATTTTATCAACACCAGACCTGTCCTACAAGAAATACTAAAGAGAGTTCCTTAATCTGAAAGAAGAAGATGCTAATGAGCAATAAGAAATCGTCTGAAGAGCCAGGCATGGTGGCTCATGGCTATAATCCCAGTGCTTTGGGAGGCTGAGGCAGGCAGATCACTAGGTCAGGAGTTTAAGACCCGCCTGACCAACATGGTGAAACCTCACTTCTAAAAAAAAAAAAAAAAGAAAGGAAAAAAATTATCTGAAGGTGTAAAACTCACTGGTAATTAAGTATGCAGAAAAACACAGATTCAAGTGTTTCTGAACTTACGTAATTGTGGTGTGTAAACTATTCATATTTCAAGCAGAAAGATGAACTGATCAAAAATAAAAACCATAACTTTTCAAGACAGACAGTACAATAAAATATAAATAGAAACAACAAATAATTAGAAAGTGGGGGGTAGAAAGTTAAAGTATAAAGTTTTTATTAGTTTCTTTGCTTATTTGTTTGTTTTTGCAATCAGTGTTATCATCAGTTTAAAATAATGAGTTATAAGGTATTATTTGCAAACTTTGTGGTAGCCATGAATCTAAAAACATACAGTGGATACACAAAAAATAAAAAGGAAGAAATTAAAACATGCCACCAGAGAAAATCACCTCCACTAAAAGGAAAATAGGAAGGAAGAAAAGAAGAAAGAAAGACCAAAAAATAACCAGAAAACAAGTAATAGAATGGCAGGAGTAAGTCCTTATTTGTTAATAATAACATTGAATGTAAATGGACTAAACTCTCTAATCAAAAGATACAGAGTGGCTGAATGGATAAAAAAGCAAGATCCAGGGATCTGTTGACTACAAGAAACATACTTTACCTTTAAAGACACATACAGAATGAAAATAAAAGGACGAAAAAAGATATTCCATATCAATGGAAACCAAAAAAGAGCAAGACTAACTATACTAGTATCAGACAAAATAGATTTCAAGACAAAAACTATAAAAAGAGACCAAAAAAAGTCATTATATAATGATAAAGGAGTTAATTCGGCAAGAGGATGTAGCCATTTTAAATATACATGCACCCAACACTGGAGCACCCAGATATATAAAGGAAATATTATTAGAGCTAAACAGGTAAGACACCAAAACAGGCCAGGCACAGTGGCTCACGCCTGTAATCCTAGCACTTTGGGAGGCCGAGGCGGGCAGATCACAAGGTCAGGAGTTCAAGACCAACCTGGCCAACATGGTGAAATCTTGTCTCTACTAAAAATACAAAAATTAGCTGGGTAGGGTGGCAGGCGCCTATAGTCCCACCTACTTGGGAGGCTGAGGCAGAAGAATTGCTTGAACTCAGGAGGCAGAAATTGCAGTAAGCCGAGATTATGCCACTGCACTCCAGCCTATACAAGAAAATGAGACTCCATCTCAAAACAACAACAACAACAGCTATAGACTTCAACATCCCATTTTTAGCATTGGGCAGATCATCCAGACAGAAAATCAAACCAGACTTAATCTGCACTACAAACAAAATGGACCTAATATATATTTATAGAACACTTCATCCAATGGCTGCAGAATACACATTCTTCTCCTCAGTACATGGATCATTCTCAAGGATAGACTATATGTTAGGTCACAAAACAAGTCTTAAAACACTCAAAAAATTGAAGTAATATCAAGCATTTTCTGACCACAATGGAATAAAACTAGAAATCAATAACAAGAATTTTGGATATTATACAAACATGAAGGAATTTCCTGAAACAAATAATGAAAACATAACATACCAAAACCTACGGGATACAACTAAAGCAGTATTAAGAAGAAAGTTTTTTATTTTTTAATTTTTTTTTGAGACAGAGTCTTGCTCTGTTACTCAGGCTGGAGTGCAGTGGCACAATCTCAGCTCACGGAAACCTCCACCTCCCGAGTTCAAGCGATTCTTGTGCCTCAGCTTCCCGGTTATCTGGGATTACAGGCATGCACCACCAAAGCCCGACTAATTTTTTGTATTTTTAGTGGAGACGAGATTTCACCTTGTTCCTCAGGCTGGTCTTGAACTCCTGAGCTCAGGCAATTTGCCCCCCTTAGCTTCTCAAAGTGCTAGGATTACAGGTGTGAGTGACTGTGCCCAGCCAAAGAGGGAAGTTTATAGCAATAACTTCCTACATCAAAAAAGTAGAAAAGCATCAAATAAATAACCTAACAATGCATCTTAAATAACTAGAAAAGCAAGAGCCAACCAAACCCAAAGTTAGAAGAAAAGAAATAATAAAGATCAGAACAGAGGCCAGGCACAGTGGTTCATGCCCGTAATCCCAGAACTTTGGGAGGCCGAGGTGGGCGGATCACAAGGTCAGGAGATCAAGACCATTCTGGCCAACATCGTGCAACCCCATCTCAACTAAAAATACAAAAATTAGATGGGCGCAGTGGCACGTGCCTGTAATCCCAGCTACTCAGGAGGCTGAGGCAGAAGAATCGCTTGAACCAGGGAGTTGGAGGTTGTGGTGAGCTAAGATTGAGCCACTGCACTACGGCCTGGTGACAGCGAGACCCCATCTCCAAAAAAAAAAAAAAAAAAAAAGATCAGAGCAGAAATAAATGAAATTGAAATGAAGAAAACAATACAAAAGATCAACAAAAAAAAATTGTTTCTTTGAAAGAATAAAACTGACAAACCTTTAGCCAGACTAAGAATAAAAGAGAGAAGACCAAAACAAATAAAATGAGAGATTAAAAAAGGGAGACATTACAGCTGATACTGGAGAAACTCAAAGAACCATTTAGCATACTGTGACCAATTATATGCCAATAAATTGGAAAACCTAGAAGAAATGGATAAATTCCTAGAGACAAACAACCTACCAAGATTGAATCATGAAGAAATCTAAACCCTGAACAGACCAATAACAAGTAGCAAGATCAAAGTCAAAGTAAAAAGTCTCCTAGCAAAGAAAAGCCTGGGACCCAATGGCTTCACTGATGAATTTTACCAAACATTTAAAGAACACCAATCTTACTCAAACTATTCAAAAAAATGGAGGTGGAAGGAATACTTCCAAACTCATTCTATGAGACCACTACTATCCTGATACGAAAACCAGACAGACACATCAAAAAAGAGAAAACTGCAGGCTCTGATGAACATTCATGCAAAAATCCTCAACAAAATACTAGCAAATAAAATTCAACAACACATCAAAAAGATCATTCATCATGATTAAGTGGGATGTATCCCAGGGATATAAGGATAGTTAAACATACATACACCAATCAATCAATGTGATACAGCCTATCATCAGAATGAAGGACAAAAACCATATGATCATTTCAATTGATGCTGAAAAAGCATTTGATAAAATTCAACATCGCTTCATGATAAAAACTCTTAAAAAATCTGGGTATAGAAGAAACAAACCTTAACATAATAAAACATATACAACAACCCACAGCTAGTGTAATATTGAATGGGGAAAAAATGAAAGCCTTTCCTCTAAAATTTAGAACATGACAACAATGCCCACTTTCCCCACTGTTATCAAATATAGTACTGGAAGTCCTAGCTAGAGCAATGAGTCAAGAGAAAGAAAAAAATGACACTCAAACTGGAAAGGAAGAAGTCAAGTTATCCTTGTTTGCAGTTGATATGATCTTGTATTTGCAAAAACCTAAAGACTCCACCAAAAAACTATTAGAACTGATAAGCAAATTCAGTAAAGTTGCAGGATACAAAATCAACATACAAAAGTCAGTAGCATTTCTATATACCAACAGCAAACAATCTGAAAAAGAAATCAAGGAAATAACCCCATTTATAATAACTACAGATAAAATTAAAAACCTGGGAATTAACCAAATAAGTGAAATATATCTATAATAAAAACTATAAAACACTGATACCATAAATTGAAGAGAACAACAAAAATAAAAAAAAAAAAGAAGATTTTCCACATCCATGGATTAGAACAATCAATATTGTAAAAATGTCCATCCTATCTAAAGCAGAATCAATGCAATGATAGGGATTGAACTGAATCTACAGATTCCAAATGCCAATAGCATTCTTCACAGAAATTTTTTTAAAAATTCTAAAATTTATGCTGAACTACAAAAGTGACAGAATAACCAAAGCTATCCTGGGCTAAACGAATAAAACAGGAAGAATAACATTACCTGACTTCAAATTATACTACAGAGCTATAGTAACCAAAACAGCATGGTACTGTCATAAAAACATATACACTGACCAATGGAAAAGAACAGAGAACCCAGAAACAAATCCATACATCTACAGTGAACTCATTTTCAAAAAACATGCCAAAAATAAACATTGGGGAAAGAACAGTCTCTTCAATTAATGGCGCTGGGAAAACCGGATATCCATATGCAGAAGAATGGAACTAGACCTCTATTTCTCACTGTATAAAAAAATCAAATAAAAATAGATTAAAGATTTAAATCAAACTATGAAAGTACCAAAAGGAAACATTGGGGAAACTCTCCAGGACACTGGAGTGGGCAGAGATTTCTTGAGTAAATACCCAACAAGCACAGGAACTAATGCAAAAATGGACCAATGGGATCACATCAAGTTAAAAAGCCTCTGCACAGCAAAGGAAACAATCAAAAAAGTGAAGACAAAACCCACAGAATGGGAGAAAATATTTGCAAACTACTCATCTGACAAGGGATTAATAATCATAATATATAAGGAGCTCAAACAACCCTAAAGAAACAAAATCTAATAATATAATTTAAAAATGGGCAAAAGGTCTGAATAGAAATTTCTCAAAAAAAGACATACAAATGGCAAACGGGTGTATGAAAAGGTGCTCAAGTCTGAGTGCAGGAGTCACACCTGTAATCCCAGCACTTTGAGAGGCTGAGGCGGGCAGATCACGAGGTCAGGAGTTTGAGACCAGCCTGACCAACATGGGGAAACCCCGTCTCTACTAGAAATACAAAAATTAGCCGGGTGTGGCGGCGCACAGAATATTTGTAATCTCAGTAGCTGGATTACAAATCCCAGCTACTAAGGCTGAGGCAGGAGAACTGCTTGAACCCAGGAGGCAAAGGCTGCAGTGAGCCAAGATTGCACCACTGCACTCTAGCAAGGGCAACACAGTGAGACTCAGTCTCGAAAAGAAAAGTAAAGAAAAGAAAAGGTGCCACGTGCGGGGGTTTACGCCTGTAATCCTAACATTTTGGGAGGCCAAGGAGGGGGGATCAGGAGGTCAGAAGTTCGAGACCAACCTAGCCAACATAGTGAAACCCCATCTCTACTAAAAATGCAAAAAATTAGCCGGGCATGGTGGTGAGGGTCTATAGTCCTAGCTACTCGGGAGGCTGAGAAAGAATTGTTTGAACCCAGGAGGGAGAGGTTGCAGTGATCCCAGATGGTGCCATTGCACTCCAGCCCGGGTGACAGTGCAAGACTCTGTCTCAAAAAAAAGAAGAAAGAAAAGGTGCTCAACATCATCAGAGAAATGCAATTAAAACTACAATGAGGGCCAGGTGTGGTGGCTCATGCCTGTAATCCCAGCACTTTGGGAGGCCAAGGTGAGCAGATCCCTTGAGGTCAGGAGTTCAAGACCAAACTGGCTAACATGGTGAAACCCCATCTCTACTAAAAATACAAAAATTAGTTGGGTGTGCTGGAGCGTGCCTGTAATCCCAGCTACTCATGAGGCTGAGGCAGGAGAATCGCTTAAACCCAGGAGGCAGAGGCTGCAGTGAGTCGAGATTGCACCACTGCACTCCAGCCTGGGCAACAGAGCAAGATTCTGTCTCAAAAAAAAAAAAAAAAAAAAAATGAAAAAGTGCTGGGCACGGTATCTCACACCTGTAATCCCAGCATTTTGGGAGGCTGAGGCAGGCAGATCACAAGGTCAGGAGTTGGAGACCAGCCTGGCCAACATGGTGAAACCCTGTCTCTACTAAAAATATAAAAAATTAGCTGGGTGTGGTGGCGGGTGCCTGTAGTCCCAGCTACTTGGGAGGCTGAGACAGGAGAATTGCTTGAACCCAGGAGGTGGAGGTTGCCATGAGCCAAGATCATGCGACTGCACTCCAGTCCAGGTGACAGTGCAAGACTCTGTCTCAAAAAAAAAAAAAGAAAAGGTGCTCAGCATCACAGATCATCAGAGAAATGCAAATTAAAACTACAATGAGGGCAAGGTGTGGTGGCTCATGCCAGCAAAGTAATCCCAGCACTTTGGGAGGCCAAGGCAAGCAGATCACTTGAGGTCAGGAGTTAAAGACCAGCCTGGGCCGGGCGCGGTGGCTCAAGCCTGTAATCCCAGCACTTTGGGAGGCCGAGACAGGTGGATCACGAGGTCAAGAGATCGAGACCATCCTGGTCAACATGGTGAAACCCCGTCTCTACTGAAAATACAAAAAATTAGCTGGGCATGGTGGTGCGTGCCTGTAATCCCAGCTACTCAGGAGGCTGAGGCAGGAGAATTGCCTGAACCCAGGAGGCGGAGGTTGCAGTGAGCCGAGATTGCGCCATTGCACCCCAGCCTGGGAAAAATAAGAGAAACCCCTTCCCTAAAAAAAAAAAAAAAAAAAAAAAAGACCAGCCTGGCCAACATGGTGAAACCCCATCTCTACTAAACATATAAAAATTAGTTAGGTGTGGTGGCACATGCCTGTGATCCCAGCTACTTCGCAGGCTGAGGCAGGAGAATCTCTTGAACCCGGGAGGTAGAGGTTGCAGTGAGCTGAGATTGTGCCACTGCACCCTAGCCTGGGCAAGAGAGTGAGACTCCATCTCAAAAACATTAAAAAACTACAATGAGATATCTTGCCACAGTTGAAATGGCTTATATCCAAAAGCAGGCAATAACAAATGCTGGCAAGGATGTGGAGAAAAAGAAACCCTCATACACTATGAAGAGCAATTTAGAGGTTCCTCAAAAAATTAAAAATAGAACTACCATATAATTCAGCAGTCCCACTGCTGGGTATATATTCAAAAGAAAGGAAATCAGTATGTTGAAGAGATATCTGCACTCCTAAGTTTGTTGCAGCACTGTTCACAATAGCCAAGATTTGGAAGCAACCTAACTGTCCATCAAGAGACGAATAGATTTTTTTTAATGTGTTACATATAAACAATGGAGTACTATTCAGCCATAAAAAAGAATGAGATCCTGTCATCTGCAACAGCATGTATCAAAGCAGATATCCTTATGTTAAGTGAAATAAGCCAAGCACAGAAAGATAAACTTTGCATGTTGTCACTTATTTGTGGGGGTTAAAAATTAAAAGAATTGACCTCATGGAGATAGAGAGTAGAATGATGGTTACCAAAGACTGCTAAGGGTAGTGAGGAGGTTGGGGAGGAAGGAGGGATGGCTAACAGGTACAAAACAACAGAAAGAAGGAATAAGATGTAGTATTTAATAGCACAACAGGGTAACTATAATCAATAATAATTTAATTGTACATTTAAAAATTACTAAAAGAGCATAAGAGGATTGTAACACAATAAATGTTTGAGGTGACAGATACCCTCATTTATCTTGATGTAATTATTACACATTGTATGTCTTTATCAAAGTATTTCACAAACCCCATAAATATATGCACCTACTATGTACCTACAAAAATTTAAAATTTTAAATAAATAAAACATTTTAAAAAGTTTTCTCCTGTATGTATAAAATTTCCAGGCGGGTCTCAAAAATTTTAAACAGAATCTTCTCCTTTAAAAATTTATTCAGGGCCGGGCGCGGTGTCTCACGCCTGTAATCCCAGCACTTTGGGAGGCCGAGGCGGGTGGATCACGAGGTCAAGAGATCAAGACCATCCTGGTCAACACGGTGAAACTCCGTCTCTACTAAAAATACAAAAAATTAGCTGGGCATCGTGGTGCGTGCCTGTAATCCTAGCTACTCAGGAGGCTGAGGCAGGAGAACTGCCTGAACCCAGGAGGCGGAGGTTGCGGTGAGCCGAGATCGCGCCATTGCACTCCAGCCTGGGTAACATGAGTGAAACTCTGTCTCAAAAAAAAAAAAAAAAAATTTATTCAGGTGTTTTGAATTTAAGTTATCTAAACCGTGGATATATAATCAAACCACAACAGGTCAGATCCTACATGTGTGGGCAAGGAATCATCTTTCACATATACAAAGTTCTGTACTTCTATATCATGGGATTGGTGATAAGATGGAACAGGTACAACACCCTTCTGACAAGTTTTCCTTGTTATGGAAGTATTCCTAAAAGTTGGATCCTCCCACCTCAGCCTCCTGAATAGTTGGAACTTACAGATGTGCCACTATGCCTAGATAATTCTTTTTTTTGTAGAGACGGAGACTTGCTGTGGTGCCTAGGCTGCTCTCAAACTCTTGGCCTCAAGCGATCTTCCCACCTCAGTCCCCTAAGTCGCTGGGATTACAGGTATGAGCTACTGTGGCCGACAGTTTCTACATTTTTAAATGATTGAAAAATGTCCAGTCTGTCCCTGAATCCCTCCTGAAAAAGATAAAAAAATTTAAAAAAGAACAATATGTCACAGCACATGGAAACTGTTTATCAAATTCAAATTTTTGGTTTCCATTAAGTTTTTTTGGAACACATTCATGTATGTATTGCCTATGGCTACTTTTTTTTTGCTACAATACCAGGTTTGAGTAGTTACAACAAAAACCATATAGTCTTCAAAGCCTAAAATACCTACTATCTGACACTTTACAGAAAAAGCTTGCTTACCTTTGGACCAAGAAAAGTTTTATTTTATTGTATAATTCAAAAATGACCTTGATAATTACTTCCAAATAGGCACAAAGGTGAAACCAGCAGCAACTGGAAAATAATGACCTTAGTCAATTATAATTAACAAAGCTTAAAAGAGTTGAACATAATATATAAAATAGAAAATTCACTTGGTAGACTGACAAATAGCAAACAAACACTACAAATGTGCTGCTTTGGTTTGGTTCTTGTAAGGCCTTACATTGCTTCTTTTCCATTATCTGTCATGCAAACTTTAGTAAAAAACTCCAAAATCCTTCTGGGAATTTTAGGAAAAGCTACATAGAGGTATTTTAGTCACTACAACCCTACCTAGGTACCTTCCACAGCTGTTATATGTTTCAAGAAAACAAACAAAAAAACCCACCAGGTTCCCAATGAAATGTCAAGTGAATTGCGGCCAGTAGGTGGAGACAGTTTCTAATCAAAGCAGAGAAGCAAAATTTGATACCAGTTGCAACGGAAATTTGAACTACCTTCATATCCTACCTTGAAATATTTAGTTAACTAGATAGAACAAAGTGATTTTTTTCCTTCCCTAGTTCAATAATAAAACCAGGCTACCCTGTATTTCCTAAATCAGATTTCACTAAGGAATCAGAAATAGGCTGGTTGGTGAATACCCTATTCCCTATAGAATATGAACCTAATTTATATGATTAAATAAATCAAGTTTTTCCTCTCTTGCCTTTAGAACAGAAGTATTTTCTGTTCATTTTCTCTCAATGAGGTTAGCACCTTTCCTAACAAATTAAACCACAGGCCTTCTTGTCTACGGTTACCCTCTAGCTATCTGATTATATAAACTGG